TTGTTTAATTAATGTACAAAAATTATTATGTTTAAATTTTCATAATTCCAAAAATAAATCCTTAGAATTCTCTTTTACAATCGGAAATTTGAAAAATTAAAATTTAGAAATGTTGCACTTATTAATTGAATGAAGTAAAATCAGAATGCAATAAAAATCGATTCAAACGCAAGAATCGATATATCGATGCAAACAAGGCATGTTTCTAATCTCAATAGGCACATCACGAATACCTTTGTACCTACAATCTTCGAGAGGAGGAAAAGATCGGTTTTTGACTCAACACCGAGGGAGAAAATGGAAAACTTCGAACACTATGGACCATGTATCTTGACAAGAGGAAGAAAACCCTCAACAACGAGTGCATACCTGGATATAAAACTACATATCTTAAGCGCGCAGCCAACTTCTTCAAAATTTATCTGAAGCAAATGAAATGAAGAAGGGAAGAAATGTCGATTCCCTTTTATTATGCAACAACCAGAACAAAAGCTCAAGTTCATTTTGTTCAATACAAACGCTATCTGCTAAATATTCAATAATATTTTCGTCTTGGTATGAAGCATGTATGTTCAACCTTCCAGATCTTCTGGGCCCTCATTGGCTAACAAAAATTTGTTCAGTGCCGCACGTATATTTTTTCATTAGTTCAATGTAAGCTATATTATTTATGAGAATATTAAAACTTTTATAGTGAAATAATACATTGATTAGAAAAATATATTTATATTAATTAAAAAAATACGAAAATTTTTAATCAGAACACTGAGCTTGTTCTTTAGATACCAGTTTATCAATATCAGGTTTGATACAAGTAGTGGCAATACCAAGAGTATTTTTAAAATGCTCGTCTAAAATTTTCGTTCGTATTTTATTTTTTGTATGCTTCATATGGCAAAAAATCTGTTCACAAATATAAGTACTCCCCAAAAAGAACATCATGAACATTCATGGTTAAAATTATTCAAATAATAAAATTCTTATTCAATTATTTCAATTTTGATTATACAATACGGGTCGCATGGATAGAGTTTAAGAACCGCATGCCGTAACTCTATTCATTCTCCCTATTAATAGATAATACATATAAGTTTTTGGTAATTATTTACTTTAAAAATTTCTTCACTTTCAATTTTGAAATATGTCATCAAGAACAACTTTTCCGTATATTACCGGCTCCTTGGTCTTAGTTTTCTTAGCTTTTTACAGGACAAACTTTATTGATTTCAATGATCTTTGAATTTTTTACAAGATATTCGAAGTAATTCTTTAGAATTTCGGTTTTCTTACCAATTTCAATGATTTTAAAATATGTTGTCAAGAATATTTTCCTGGATTCTTCAGACTATTTATTTATTAAAAATCTTTTATTTTTATGAATTATTTCAATGTAATGATGAAAGTCGATCGGTGGTTTATCTATACCTCAAACTAATAAATATTCTTTAAAAAGAACTGATTTTGTTTTAAAATGAGTATTTAAGCAAGATTTTTTAAATCGAACGCCGTAAGCTAACTTCTGAAAACCTTATAAGTCAGATGCACATACATGTAAAAATATTTTCAATATTACGTATTCTACTTTCTGAATTATGCTTGGTTTAGATTATATTAAATAATTATATTAAATCATAAGGTAACCAATATTTTTGAAATTTCTTGTTTTGATTTACATTATTAAGTAACATTATTTTGAATAATTAATAGCAATTTCAGCAATTTAATATTTTTTTCAGTTTTTATATTATAGGATGTCATATTATTTGATGCCATGCTAATTTCATTTTACAACACGAAATACATTATTTTAATGGACACAATACTAATGCTTTAATAAGTGATGTAGTAAAAATGAAAATATGAAAATATAAAAACAGAACAGATTCATGAAATATGGCTGTTTACAAACATCCATTTATAGTGAAAAGTTGTTCATGATAATGACTTTAACAATATATTTTAAGATCATTGAAGTATGTAAGACGATTCTTATAATAAATAATGATCAAATTTTCATTATATGTATATATTCGAACTTTAATTATTGCATTTAATTATATATAAAACATGAAGTTCGATTTATGGTACTTTTGGATTATTACGCGATATAAAAGATTAGAAAGTTAGTTTTATTAAACTATTTTTATTAAATTCTATATTTTATACCTATTGTTTAATATACGTATATATAAATAGTAACGGACCAATAATCTACTTAGTTATTTGCGTTTGTTAATAAAACATTTCCTTTTTCTAATAGGAAAAGATCGAATAGTTATGAAAAATTTCTAATAAGAATATAGATTATGATGTAGTAGCTTAATGTGTGATATTTGTTTGTAAAACATAAAATAATTGATCTTCGTGTTCTTATTGTATATCGATATCATCGGCGATAAATCAAATAACAAAAACTTGTTAATTTTTATTGAAGGAAAATATTCAATTTCATTCTAGTCATAGTTTCTTGAAAAATGAATTCTTAATAAAATTTTGCTATATATATAGACCTGTACCTCATAGATGTCTATTGAAAAAGTATATAAATAAAATAACATTTATAATTTCCTTCACAACTATCATTGTTCTGGAAAAGAATGGAAACATTGTGATCGATACAAAAAACGATAAATATAAAATTTCGTAATTTATATATCTTCTATAATTTAAAACAATTATTACGAACAAACATTTTCGTTATAAAAACGCACAAATGTATTCATGAATAAAATAACCATCAATACAATCTGCATATTTTTATTGAAAACATTTCAGTTTAAAATATTAATTATTTTATCTTAATTATTTATTGTTTGTCGCGTTTATTTTTCATTAAATCAATATAATATAAACAATTAATAATGAGTTAAATGTTTCGCAAAAATTAGTCATTTATGTTACAATTATTTATAAAAATAACTTTAATTTTCTAATGTGTACAGTATTTGAATATAGAAACTTTTTGTTGGCAATGTTATTTTTTCTATTTACAATAAAGAAATAAATTTTAAATATTTTTCTATATATTTAAAATTATAAAAGCAACACTAGTTAAATTTATTGTTTAATTTCTATTATTTAGATTTTCAACTATAACATTTTCACAATACGAAAATACTCTGGGGAAAATAAACGCTTTTTATTACACTAGTTAAATATATATTATTATATTGAATGTACTTGAAAGCTTATCGGTAAAGTAAAATGTGAATATATTATTCGATATATATAAAATATGTAAATATTCATGAAATTACTATTTCTATCTATAAAAAAGAGATTGTAACATGTCAATATAAGTAAACACTATAGAATTAAAAGAGAGAAAGGAAAATATAATTTTCTCTCTGCCTCCAAATTAGTTACATTTGTATATTTTCAATCCGATTATTGATACGGTTTATTTTGATTGATGTTTAAATAGCAAGTACTATGTTTATTAACCAACTAAAAAAAATCATTCAATCATTGCTTATTTATTAAACTGCGCTGATGTTGGAACAACAATTTGATATTTTCAAAAGTGCACTGGTTGTCATTTTAAAAATGTGTGTAGAGTTGAAATAATTGGTGATAATTTGAAAATTAAAGACAAAAGACATGAAAAGAATAACGGTATGTGTAATGCCGTTCTGCAATTTTTGCTACAGCGTTTGCCGGTAGTACGCTGTTATACTCACTACATTGAAAGAATTTAATGTGCATCGTTGAATTGTACAATTTTCAATGTAAACTCTTAAAAAATTAGTAAATATCGACGGAAAGTAAAAAATCTTTCTTAAAACTTGGAGAAAATTAAAGATATTTTCTTGAATCAAAGAGAATCACTTAGAAGTTTATCATATGCCGTAAATGTGCCCAAATCAACCTTATATAGAATTTTGGAGAGAAAAGAATTTAGACATATTTTTTTCTCCATGAAACCAATTCTTATTGAAGAAAATGAACTCGAAAAATTGCATATGAACAAAGAAAAACTCAGATGTGACCATATAGTATTATAGACCATATAGAAAGTCGTCACCATATAGTATTATATATAAACCTGAGGCTGTAATTAATGCTAAAAACTGTTTAAATATTATTTAAGATTAAATTATTGTTAAACATTTTCCATTTCCGTCAAATTTTGTTTATATTTTATTTTTTTACATATGTAATAACTATTCTAGTCACAGAATATACAACATTTATACATCAAATGGAATAACTAATTTGGGATGGAGGGAGTTCTATAATTTATAATATATAATATTATACTAACTATAGTATAAAATATAGTAAAATATAAAAGGTATATATACAATTTAGATACTAAATTGTAGTGAGGCATTTTTAACAATATAATTTTAATTTTAAATTATCCAAATATTTGTTTCAAAATAGGACAAGAATGATTCAAAGAAAACGATGTAAATTAATAAATAATTTGCATAATGCATATTTTTGTAAGTAAAATGTGTACAATTTGTATTAGAGAGATTAAAGTATAAGGACGAAAAATAGAATTTATTTAATACACTGAACAAAAATCGTTTAAATATCTAATATTATATATAGTTGTAAATCTATAAACTTTATATGATAAATTACAAATCAGTTGTTTTGATCATTCTAGTAATAGCATTAAAAAATAAAAATCACAGAAAGAGTAATATAAAAGTAATATGAGAAAAATATACACTTTCTTTTATCTTTCAAATATGTAAAATATGTAAATACTTACTTTACAAAAATAATATTTCGTATTTTATATTAATGAATAGATCATTTGTTATAAAATATAGTTATTTAAATAAATAATAGTTTGTAGAAAATAAAAAATAGCGAAGATTGAGTTGGTATATTTGAGAATATACACAAATAATGTCAATTAATATCGAATATTTATTTCTGTCGAATTATTATTAAAATTATACTATTATTAAAATCATACGAGTGACGTAATAAATTTAAATTATTATGTTAGGATTGTATAACAAAAAGATAATGTATAAGTTGCGACTTCAATCCTTGTTCATTATGAAATACAAAAAGGTGATGTATAAATAGATGTCAAAGTTATAATCATAAAAGAACTGCAAGAAATCAAGAAATCCCAGATATCAATAAATTAGTTACATTAATGAATTAGTTATATCTGTCTTACAATTAAAATATTCCTAGATACACTCTCAGGTTCATAATATGTAATTTAATACGTTAGAAGCGCATATGATTATTGGATACATATGTAACAAATTTGGTTTACATGCTACGTCAATTTTCTTAATGACCAGAGAATATTTATTCATTTATACCATGCTCGTGAACTTTAACAAATCTTGTGCATTACAAATAATGAAAATTAAGAAAAAATATTAAAAAACAATAATAAAATACATATTTTAATAACACTAATTTAGCAATATTTTGCGATATAAATGATTAAATAACTATTCATATAGCTAATTATTAAAGTGACGTTGTAGATACAAGCAAATTAAGAAAAGGAATTTCAATAATTTTAATAACCTTTCACAACTAATTTTTTTTACAATGATATTTTACATATTATTGTACTATATTTCAGTTTAACTTATACAATTTGTTGATAGATTATATCTAATATATATTGTTACAATTTATATGATTTATACATTAACTCGTGAATTTAATTCAATTAAATTTAATTTAATTAAATGTAATTCATGCAAAGATCACAAAATTCTATCAAAGAATAGATAATAAGAATATTAATAATATTCTTTATTTTTACTTTATAATATTCATATTACTTTATAATATTCTTTTCCTCATCAATGTTGTTTTTTTTGTCCCAATTATTATACTCAAATGTTAACGGAAACATTCTATCGGTATATAATAAACCCTGAAAAAATAAATAATTGTACATTAATTAACAATATTTACGCTCGTATTTACATTTTCTTAATTAATAAATTAATTAAAAGTTATACATTACTAGATACTTATTCCTAGATAAATAAAACTATAATTGTTCTCTCGACAAATATTTCAGAACTTAAGGCCGATCACGCTATTGATTCGCTCATAGTTCATTAAACGTTCTATTCTAGGTCAGATTAATTATTCCAGTATTTAGATTATGTAACGTTAGATTTCAATTTAATCAAGTTCTGGCGATGATTTTTCGATTTTATTATGGTGAATTTTTTAATTTTTAGGTAAAATGCTTATTGAATTAATACAAGCTGAAGGTGTGTGTAATGTATTCACCATTCCATCAATACAATTATAAAGAATTTGAAGACAGACTGCAAGAATATAATTGCTTCAAGCGCGGAACGTAAGCGAATAAAGAACGGATCGATAGTACACATGTAGGACCTTAACCTCACCATTTCCCCTAATAAGTCACTTTCGATCCTTTAATCAAATTCAAATCCGATTTTAATTGAGATACTATTATAAATTTCATTTGATAATACCAATTTTCACTACTTTATTCTAACTTTTATTCACAACTAGAAAAATATGTCTACATAGAAGACACATGTTATATAGAATACAACATACAGCATAGATCGTTCTAATAATTTAATTAAATAACTAATAATAATTTAGTAAATAACTAATAATTTAGTAAATAACTAATAATTTAATTTTACACTTCAAGAAAAAAATATAAATGTTTTATTTTAAATAAAAAAAAGAATATATTACTAGTATTAAATTATTCCAAATGAAACAATTGTATAATTACTTAATTATATTTATTAATTATATTTATTCACTGATAAAAAAACAAATAACTAATTAATTCTATAATCATTATAAGATCATCCAAAAATATACAATAATGAAAAGAAAAAATTAGTGGAAAATTTAATAATACAAATAAATTTGTAATTTAAGAATTGCAATTAAATTAAATTTAAAATTAGATTTAACTAATTATAGAAAAATCATTATTTTCCAAATAGATTCTTACGAAGGAAAACAATAATTGAAGTGTATGAAATTGAAAACATGTTGTTTCGTTTTAAACAGTAAATAAACTAATAAGAGAAAAAAAGAACTTACTTTTAAATGATCCATTTCATGATGAGCTATCCTAGCTAACCAACCTTCTGCTTTCCAACAAAATGATTTTCCAAATCGGTCAAGTGCTTTGATTTGAATTTCTTTTGGTCTTGCTACTTCTGCATGAAAATATTCGATACTTCCGCATGTTTCATGAAATATAAGTTCTTCGGAATTTGTTACCTCCATTTCTGGATTGATAAAATATGTCAAAGGCTGAGGTTCGATCTGACAATGTAATCGTATGGTTGGATGAACATCTTTCAAAGTTTCTTCCGTTAGTTCTATAACAAATACTTGCCAAGCTAAACCGATTTGTGGGGCTGCTAATCCTACTGTGTCAGATTCCCTCAATACTTTATATAAATGATCAAGTGTCTATAACAAATAAATAAATGCACATTTTCATGATAAAATGAATTACAACATTAGAAAAAATTTTATTATAGTATATAAAACTTTCAAGATAATTTCTTTATAGAAGTTTAATATTTAGGACTGAGTGTCTCGTATCGATGTGTGTGGTATCGAAATCCTTTCATTCAAAAGTTATGATCACTTTTGTCATAGACTTAATTTGCATCGAAAAAAAAAACAATATAATTACTCTTTTTAAAATATTCTAATAAATTAATTATATTCGAATTTATATCACATATAATTCATGAATTACATATATTTACACATTTTTCGAATATCAGTATTGATTTGATCAGATAAATCTCCGGCCAGCGGAAGCCTGCCAACAACACTATTGGTCAAATATTTCCAAAATTTCTCGGTAATTCTCTGTTAAATCAAGCTGTCTCGTGTTAGACTTTGAATATCGCACTCGTGCTCGAACTTGAATCCATTGCGACCACTTCGCGAGTGAACTCCCTACGTCCGAAGAATCACCCACGACAATGTGGGACCAAATTTGTCAAAGTCGACGTGTTCTATAATAACTAAAGAGATCTCGAGGTTTCAATGTACTTGAAGTGATTGTCTTTGCGTATCTCTCTCGATGAGAGTCTATGTGAATCTGCTCCCGATGAGCATCCTTTCGTATCCTAATCGTCTCGTTTCCTTTTCATAACTGCCCGAAAAGTCCTCCCCGTGAAGACATGAGATTTCCCTTTCCTGGAAAACTGTCTGGGATGGAAACACCGAGTCATGATGGAAAATGCAACTTTCACTTTCCCAAGGGGCCATATGGACATTGTTCATCCCGGAGACTTACCGTAATATGGGACAGGAATGGTTGTTTGTAATACTATAGGATGCAAACCTAGTGCTTGCATCCACTGTGGTAAAAAGTACAAATTTTTTAAGACCATCTTAAAACCCCATCCGTGCCACAAATTACGGTCATTGCTGGCCTTAACAACATTCTCTACATAACTGTAGCATAGAAAATCATATGTTCTCAAATATTTAGAGGTCCAGGATATTTGAAAGTGCTCCAGGATTGTTCTTCAATAATTATAGTGCGGCAGCATATTTAAATAAACAGTCAATCATTGATAAACAGGTAACGTGAGCGCTGTAAATAATACAAATTTACATGAAGTTAGTGTAATGTGTAGTGAATGTTCTGTTTATCTCGCAAAATGCAAATATTTCGTAAAGGATTGTTATAAAACAAATGTTCCTACAAAAGATGCCTAACATAAAAGAGCACATTATGTGGTATTAATGATATTTTTATGGGTAGAATAGTGAAGAAAATTTCAAAGTCAAGTTGATATTTCAAATTACATAATTTTGAATGCAATTTGATTTATTTGAATGAATTTTCAATTCATTTTTCATTTTCTACAAAAATAGCATATTGGAAAACCGTTGATTTAGAAGATATTTTCACTTTAATTCTGTAAAGCTTGTATGAAAGACAAAAACAATATAAACATAGAAATATCGCTCATATTATTCCTTGTCTTTCATAGAAGATTAAAAAGAAAATATTTCCCAAACCAATAGTTTTTTGATAGAAATAGGTTAGGTTAATATTTTTTTTTATAAAGAATGCTCAGATAAATCCAATACTGCTTTCGAAATTATATGATATTATTTAAAAATATGAACTTGATTTTAAAATCTTCATCATTTTATTTACAAAAATATCATTAATACCAAATATACCTCTTTGTACCATACAACTTTTATAGGAATATTTTTTTATAACTTCAATCCCTTACGAGAATACCTTGTATATGTACCCTGCATACCGAGAATACCATTATATGTAAATAACATAATTATATTGCTTTTTTCTATAAATTAGACTCGTCAGAAAAATGACCATAACCGAAGGATTTTGACTTCTGATATTCATTGATGGATTCTTCTACTGATAAGATCTTCATTAATTATCTAATTGTAGTTATCTTAATAATATCCTTAATACTTATTATCCTAATAATGAATACTAATTGCAGCAATTTTTTTTCATATAAACATCCTATGAAAAATAATGAAGCTATCGATAATATATATTGAATTTTAATGAAGGTTGTTTTAAGTATTTTGTTTTAATATATGTACATTATATGTACATTATATGTAACTTATAAAAATAAAAAAATTTTAAAAAAAACGAGTAATTGGGCCCTAATGGCCCCAAAAATAAAATAAATAAAAAAATAAAAAGGCTTTTCTACATATTAATATTAACCAATATGCATCACTATTTTTATTGGATATTATTATAAGCAAAATCATGAATTATATAAAATATGACATGTATTATATCAATGAATTCATTAAAAATATATAAGCACATAGCATGTTGGGAATACAGCCAGCCAATTTGAAGAATCATTATCATCATTGTCAACAAACAGAAATCGTCTTCCCTGAAGGATTGAAAACTGACCTCTGCAATAATTGCTCCGATCAACAACGAATGTGTACGCATCCTCACAAAGCAAAAGAGATACTATCGCTGCTTCTATCGCTATCACATTTTTACATTTTCCCATTCATATCAATATACATATCAATCTTTATTGTTGTAAGTCTATTAAAAATAACAAATCGGGCCCGAATTCCTTCCAAAGCACCTCGTTATCAAAAAGTCACCGACGAAAACTATTATAATTACAATGAAGACACCGTTGTATTAATGTTAAAGTTTTGTTAAATATTTCAGAAATAAAAAAATACCCAAAGCTAAAATTTTATATTTAAAATTCCCTCCGATTAGTATTTTTCAGAATAATATTTCTTTTTAATAAATGATAATTTTCAATTAATTAAATATTAAATTATATTCTATAGAAATAAGACTCACACTGGGATGGAACTCACTGTGTCCACATACATACTTTGCAAAACAAAGTAAACTCACTCTTTAATCCTACCAAATTATAATTTAGTTCATTCTATATCTAATAAAATCTAATTTAATCCTATCAAATTATAATTTACATATATTTAAGACTGACAGTCGATCTTGAAACACTAAAAAAAAATCAACTTAAATTGGATATAATACGCTGTATAGAGTGACAAATATTTTTTTTCGTTGTAGTGATAGCTGCTATCCCAATCTTCCTTTAATTTAAGCAGTTAAAGCTAAAATCGAGATCGATGCAATGAAAGAGATTACTCTACCCACCAAGAAAATAAGGGCATAGGCTACGATCTGCCAATTTGCCACCTCTAGAACAGTATGACCCATTTATCAAAATAGAACGAAATTTTGAAGAAATAAGAGAGGAGAGGGAATAAAAATCCCGAATAAAAAATTTTAACTGTGGATTTTTATTAATTTCTGAGATATGAATAAAAAACTTTGGATATAATAGAATGAATTTTGCTTATACAGACGTTACTAATCCTACAGATGAGGTATCGTCTGTGTTAATACATACAAACAATCTTCGCTGATTAGTTAATATTGTACGATTGTTATTATAATAGATCTTGCCATAAACTAACGAATAATCGATGACGTAATAACGATATTGTTCTTAGTATCCATACGTTAATTAATGAGACATTAATATAATAATATTTAATAAGACGTTGCACTTAAAATAATTAAAGAAAATAACGATTTAAAAAAATAACCTAATTCAACTTTAATGATTACTATAGCGAAAGCAGTTGATTAGTAACATCTTAATTCAGTATATTGTACCGAAAATTGATATCAGATTTTATGTAGAATACCATATAGATATCGATATCATCATTATGTAAACAGTTCCCTGGCACTCATGATGACTAAATAGCATTGTCCATTATAATAGCCATATTTCTATAGACAGAATTCAATGTGTTGTAACCAATGATTTATTAATTTCTCAGAAACTAATAAAGAACTAATAAATTTTCCATTATACTACCACCGTAGATTTTTCATAGTAAATACATATTTAACATTTATTTAATATTTATTTAATATTTATTTAACATTTGGAGATACTTTATAACTTTTAAAAAAATTACCAATTTTTTCAGAATGATAATCTTAAGGACGTATGTTAAGACCACGGTCATACATAAAATTGTTCTCTCAATACAATTATTTTTTTTCAGTCATTCAAGTCTAATTATCCACTTTCTTTATTTTTTCCATT